TATTTATAGGTTCGCATATTATATAATCAATGGATATCAGAAGAAATTTATAAACTTACATTTACAAAGTATATCAAGAAACCATCATATTAATTATTTGCTGAATGGATAAAAACTATATAGGAATCTATTGATCCAAATTTAATTAGACATTTATTTAAATATATTACAGAATGATAGATAATTTTAGAAATTTTTTTTATTACATTTATATAATAACTGTTAACAATATTAGATTATAAATAAAAAAATTCACACCATTTAAAATATCACAGAAATGCATTAAGTAATATTTTACTATATCTTTTCTCTCTATTTACTTATGTACCATCTATTTGATTATTTATTCATCCATCTGCTTACCTATCAATCTATTCACTTATTTATTTACTTATCTATCTATAAACTTACTTATTTATTTACTTACTCATCTATTCATATCTATTAATTTACTTTTTTATTTAATAAATGTATAAATAAAAATCTACTTCATATAAAATAATGTAGTCAATTCACTTTTTTTTCAAATTCACTTAAAAATATATAACATGCAAATAAAACTTATTATCTATAGATTTAATATTCAATAATATAATTAATTTACTTTTGAATTTGTCCAAAACCAGATTTTTCCTTAGTATAAAACAAATTTGATTTATTTTTTTTTTTTTTTAGCACAAACTAAGTTCAATTTATGCTATTTTTTTTTAGCACGAATCAATAAATTTGCAAAGAATTTAATATAAGTTTATGGAATATAAGAAGTATAACAAAATATAAAATATAAAGAAAAGTGGATTTGTATATTATAAAGAGTGAAAGTATATAGATTGTAAAAAGCAAATTGTGAAGGTGAATAGGTTTATAGAATATAAGAGGTGAATTTATAGAGTATTAGATATATAGTTTTATGAAATATAAGAGTTTGAAAATTGTATAATAAATAGATTCATAGTGAATAAGTTTGTAAATTGTAAGGTAGGTAGGTAGTGAATTTGTAAATTAAATTTGTGAAGTTTCTTTATTTGAAAATATAAGATCTGTAACCAATTAGAAGACAAATACCAATATAAATATTGATGCATATATTTATAAATAAAATATCAATATATTTAGAATATTCAAATATATTTTTATAGGAGGGAATACTTTGAAAAGTGTTTTATGGTATTTCTCTATTAGATTAAGATAGACAAATCAGATTCAATATATATATTAACACTTCTTAAAAATTTTTTTATCACTCCAATGTCTTTTTATTAGGTCTCTATCTGAAGATGGTTTAATATAAGATGGTTTCTTAACCTATTATTAGTTTACTAGCTTATAATTAGTTTTTTTTTTAATGCAAATAAGCGATATATGCTGGTTTTTATTAGAAAGTTAATTCATAAACAATTAGATAAATAGTCTTTACAGGATTAACTATCAAGTAAATTAATTAAAGTCTATTGCATAGATAGATCCTTACAACTCTGAAAACTCATATAAAGAAAAAGAAAAATAGTAGATAATATCTAACTACTAATTTATTATTGACCAGTAAGGATGCTTACTAGGATAGAATGGTATGTGTATAATGATATGGTTAGGAGATTCAGGTTTTTGTTATACTGGACCTGGAAACTAGTTTGAGTTGAGATATAGGCCATTGATCTTTTCTTACTAGAGGCCTTGAACCTAATAAGGTATAATCAACTTGTACAATCTTTTGGAGAGAGTAAGCTGATCAAGGTTTTTGGTAGGATTTTGGAAGATGGTTAATATAAAAAGAGGTTTTATTATTATTATTCTTGAGTTGGATACTATTAAATATTTAAAACAAAAGCTCTTGGCTAGTCATTTACTCTTTAATCAACATAATGGACAGTCTAGACTCTCAGCAAGTAAAATCCTATTTTTGATACTACTGATTGGAATTCCTATCATTGCACCTCTTCTTTATTCAGACAGTTTTGTAAATAGCTAATGATTATAAAAAGATATACTTAGAACTTTTGAAAATGTAACCACTCTTGTTACAAATTTATCTCTTAATTGTAAAAGCTTTTGTTTTGATCTTTTTCATATATTAAGCCTACTGACTTGACCAAAGCAAAGGTTTGAAATACTATAGGGTTGATGAGATGGTTCAGTAGAGAAAAAAGTGGGAGGCCTAGAAAAAAAACCTTGGAAAAGAGAAAAGCTATCCATTGACAGGAAGGATATAAAACAAAAGGTTAAAGATAAATAAGGAAAAAAAAAATAGGTGGAAGAAGTTTAAGAAATTGAAAAAAACTAAGAAGGATAAAAGTATTTTGTCTATAATGACTCAAGCAAACACAAAGCCTTGTTTCAGGAATATCTCAACCCCAAAGAACAGTTTCCTTTGTTTTAAACATTTACCATATGCAAAGTGCAGGTTCACTCGTATTTCCCTAAATGTAATACTTTTCATATATCAACAAATCAGATAATAGGATTTTGTGTGATATCAGCACATCTTAGACTTTATCTGCTACATAGTTAATAGCTTTGCATGGAGTAAAGAAGAGGGAGAAGAGAGAAGAAAATCTCTTAAAAAGAAAATTTTCATGAAGTAGGAAAAGTGGGAAAGAGTTTTTTACTAGCTTATAATTGGTTTCTTTTGATTAAATATATCTATATAATAAAACTTTGCTAATAAACTTGTTCAAGTCAACTTAAAATATAAATATAAACTAGAGAAAAAAAAAGAAGCTATAAAGATAATAAAAATTCTTTCCACTAATTTTTTATCCATATACAAAAAAGATGTTTATAAGAAATTTTTTATTTTTTTCTAATAAAGTTTTAACACTATTCTTAAACCAACTTGAAATTTTACTTTAAGAAATATTTCTAAATCTTATTTCTTATTTATATTTGTCTTCAAACAAAAACTTGACTTTTTATAACTTAGAAAAGTTAAGAAATATCTTTTCTACCTATGATAAAAAAGTTCTGTAAAAAAGAAGAACTTATAGTATAGCACTTAAAACCTTTTATATTAAAGCATGTTTATAGAGATTTTGTACAATGAGAGATGATAAATATCAAGTTATATTTTTATGATATCTGCCTATTGTTTTTTTTTTCTTACAGTCATTTAAAATTTTTTAGTTTTCTAGAAATTTTGCCTATCTCAGTTTGATCCTGAATTTTAAATAATAAAATTTATTGCAAAATGTGATTGCTGGGCATGAAACACATTAGTAGCAGAATATAAACAAGTCCTTATTAGTTATTTTATGTGTTCTGATAATGTCATTGATGATAGAAAAAGTTGATTGGTATTTTGTTTCTATTCCACTTCTTCAATTAAATTAATCTATAGATCAAGTTTTATAAGGTCAATAAAATATAAGTAACAAGTTCTTAGATGATAAAAAAGCTGCTATTTGTTTAAGCTAAGATTTTAATTTTTTATTATTTCAATTAGACAAAGTTCAAGACCAAGGTCTCCTTTTTATCCTAGTCAGGTAATAAGACTGAATGTTCTTTAGTTCATACTAAGATTTAATCCTTTAGTTATAGTTGAGAATACATTTCTTCAAAAGTTATTGAAAAGTATTATAATTGATAAGGATTCCTATCACTTTTTAAAACTCTCTTATCATTACAAAACAAAAGGATCATTGGAGAATCTGGTCTTTTGAGTAATAGAAAATATTTATTAGTAAAATTCCTTTAACTAGGTATGATTATTAGAAAGTATTATATCAAAATAATATGATTCAATTTCTACTGGATCACATAAGAACCTGGATCCATTATAAGTTATCTGTTTATTACAGATAAATAAAAATCACTGTTCAAAGAAGGTTGGAATCAAGTATGTCCTGGAAATAAAGATATCTACTAGATAATAAGTTTCTTTAGATAGTACACAAGAAGGAAATCAAGATCAAGAATAGATAAGTTCCTCAAACAGTCAGGAAAAGAAAGAATATCCCAATATGTATTTCTTATTAAGAAGAAGTCTTAAGAAGTAGATCTTTGAAGGAAGCTAAAGAATTTTATTTTCTTTTTTCATTTTCATTTTCATGTAATCTATTTGAATATTTTTAAATATTCCTTTTCCTTTTTATCAACCTCTTCTTTTGTAGTTTTCTATATTTCAGTGGCTTGATAGAACATTTGATAGCAATAAACTATTGGCAATGAAGTAATGGGCTAGAAGAGTTTTTACCTAAAGTTTAATATGAAGCAAAATATTGTTTCTAAGGTCAAAATTAGAGGCTATTATTACTTACAATGAGTTAGTTAAATTTGAAATTGATGTTTAGCTATAATATATATCATGCTGCTTGAGTGAAAATGTACTTATGTTTTCAATTAATTAATAAACTACAATCTAGCCTGGCTGTGAATATACAAAAAAAAAAACTATAACAGATCTGTAAATCTATAGTACAGTGGTAGTGCTCTTAGGTCACAATTACAAGGTCCAAAGTTCAATTTCAAGAGTAAGAATCTCTAAAATTTTGATAGAATTACAGTATTACAGTATTATTATTATGATGATTCAAAATCGTCTCATTTATACTGTATTTGATCGAGAATCCTCAAAATTTTATATTTAAATAATTGAATTTCTACAATTATAACTTCTTGTTGGCCTAATATACAGTATATACAGTGGCCTCTGGAGTTTTTTTTTTTTTTTTGGAAGCTCCTAGCGATTCATTAAGTTTACAGTGTTGATGACTATTTTTCCACCAGTAAAGGTACTTTGAGTCTTGGTGATTAAATTTTTGCAGTGTAAATTAAGGGTCTCAAAATATATTTATTTAACTCGAATTACATCCATACAGTGATGGATACAAAATAATGAGAAATAAAAAGTATAAAATGTTGTACAACTGAGGGCGACAAGTCTTAAGCCAAAAAATAATTATTCGTACAAATCGAGGTGAAAGATATCAAAACATAGGTACCAATGTCCTAATCACCCACTACTTTGCCATGAACAAGAAAATCAAAAAATTTCTATTGAAAATTCAATCGGCATCATCCACATCATCTACTTGTCCCGCATTTTCATCTCTCTCAAATTCTTCAAACTCCTCATCTCCAGAAAGCACATCCATATCATAATCTTCATCTTTGTAGACCGGTGCCTCTTGGGCGATTGTAAATATTGGTTTGTATTTCTTGCTGATCTAGATATTCATGAGGAATATTAAAGCATTAATTTGATTTTCACGAGTTTTGATACAATTCAGTATACGGAAGTCGCATATGAATTCAATAAAAAATTTCCCAACCTCTTCCACCCGACTACAAAAATCTTCAAATTCTTCGCTCGTTCTACAATAAAAACCGAGGAGCATGGAGGGGTCCAATTGTGAAATGGATATCTTGCGCAGTGTATCACAATGGTAAGTTGACAATTCCTTTTGACGTAATTCATTATCAGTTTCACTATAGAAAAAAAAAAAAAAAAAAGCATCGAAAAGGGCTCTACACCCACCTCTTCAGAAAATTCATCGACATCTTTCAATTCTACAGCAGGCCGTGAATAATGTGGATCAAGGTAAAATAGATCATCGGCTAGGCAATATATGATTCGTTGTTACAAACTTGAATCCCATGTCAACTCGAGGATTCCAAACCCCCTATCCAACGATGAATAAAAAAACCAACCTTGTGTTCCAATAAAATAATAGGATGAGGAAGGCTTGCCTCTAAGTTAATTTTGAATTTGAATGAATATCCGATTATCCTCTCCAATAACTTTTCAAATTTCACCATTACATACCCCGCTATTCCAACACTCTGTGGAAATCTGAAGAAAGCCTTGAAATATTTCAAAGAGGAGATTGTCAGAACAATGATTATGCATAGAGTCATCATCAAATGAGGAGGAAAAAAAAAAGAAAAAAAGAAAAAAGAGGGTACTTTAAGAGCATCGTAATATATTGGATTTAGGTTATTTATTCCCAGCCGGATGGGCACTAGAATCAAGACTGACCGAAAGTTTCCCTTCCCCGACTTGTAGATTTCATTTTTGTACACCACAGCGTCTGTGGTCTCATAAACTCTTAATTGAGCAGGTGGAAAGTCCTCCACCAGAGCCCTGTATAGCACGGTTCGGTGGTAACATGAATTATAATAGCAGTGATTTTTTACGTTGAAAAGAATTTCCTTTGGCCGCAAATGTCAAACAAGTAAAACTCCTGTGACTACGTACTTGATGGCCTGAGAGGCGGTTGAAGGTCCAAACCATTCTCCGATGTTTTTTCCCAATTGTTTTCCTAAGATCGCCATACGGTGAACCGAAAATGGGCATCGAGATGACATGTCGTCTATGAACCACGTGAGAATCTATGATCAAGAAATTTTAACATTAACAAACACTATGTCTATGGTGTGACAGTCGTTCCGCGGAGTTATGGTACAAGCCAAGAGCATCTTCAAATTCACCTCAACATATTTCTCCCAAGTGGCCTCCCCTTTGCGAGTCCTTCGCCAGTCTACATCAGAAAGTGTTCAATAAAGTTCATCTCACAAATGTTAAAATCAATTCTCCGACAATATAAAGGTAGCTAGACCAACCTCTGCCCAGAAATTGTAATATCAGTGCATTGGCAAGCAGTGATTGCCCTGATCTCAACATACACCCCCAACCTGAGTCACTTGTGAAGCTCGTTTGATTGATCGCAGCATATTTGCTTCTATACGTACACCATATCCTTGAGGTGAAGTCTTGATAAAATTCGGTTGGGTAATCAGATGGCGTTAGTATCTGTGATTGCATCGAAAGGTGAGGGAAGGTTCCCGGGGTTGAATAGTAGTAATTCGATGGCTCATCAAGTTCATTTGACACGTGATCGTCACTGACTTCATAACGAACGCCCAACAGCCAAATTGAATTATCTTTAGTCGACTGGTCAGCCACTTCCGAGTCACTCCTTTTGTCACAACTATCAACCAGTCCTTTTTTAAATCGAGTAAATTCGGAATCTTTATCAGCCACGTCTTCGTTAGTAGGGATCCATAAAGAGCTAAGCCAGCCAGAGAACCTTTTAGTCACCTTGCTAGCTCCTATGATGTCCCTGCCGGAGAGGTTGTTGAGTGTGTGAATTGGAGTGACCCTTTGCTCTGCAATATGATCGTGTTCTCCCTCATAACTACAACTAGAACTACTCTCGAACCCGTTTAACTCTTCGACGTGGGTCTCGCAGAGCCTGCCGCTGGACATGGGATTTTTGTGTTTGTTCTCGAAATCAGGAGGACGAACGCTTATAACAGGTTCTGCGGATATTAGCCCGGTGCCTTTCATGTAATTTGTAAGGAAGTTCTCTCTCTATTCCTGGAAATTTTTATCAAAAAAGAGTGTACTCAACATCGATGCCTAATTATTTTCACCCTTAAACAGTTAATAAGTCTATGATCACGTTGTGTCCCGTGATTTAGTGAACTTCATTTGAGCATATGATGTTGGATGCATGAAGTTGCCTACTTTTCAAACATGCCCTTTGGCTTTCCGAAACATGACGGGGATTCGGTAGCCTCCGAAGTCACTGATAATCCGACATTCGCCGGTGACCCTAATCTCACTTCGCCGGAAGTTTTGACAGAGAACGAGGATCTTTCTATTCCTCCGGACACCGCCGACCATTACGACGTGAAGGTGAAGTGGCGTCGACAAGACGAGGAACCCGTCTTGTACAGAGATCGCTTCATAGCCGTGACCAGAACCTACCTATATATCTTTAATTATTATATGCCCGATGGAAAAGATAAAGCCATTTCAATGAACAACATAACGGATGTTCAAACAGATCAGGAGGTCAGAGTGTCGTATCAAAAGTGGTAAGTAAGGCCTGTTTATCGATTCCCTAACTTCCCGACACAGCGTGCCTTGTGTACCATCTATCTATCTACCAAACATTTTTTTATCGAAGGGGAGCCGGCTCAATAGATCTCTGGGTGGGTTATGCTGACGATATGATGTTTCTTGTACCCGCAGCTTTTCGCAATACTTATCACATTCAATATTAAATAGTGGGCAAGGGATTTTGGAAGATGGAAGAATCATGATTTGTGTGTTATTGTCACTGTTGACAATGATTTCGTCAAACGAAAGGGTTTCACCATCGAAAGCAAGGAGGGTTTTCGCATCCTGAGGAGAACATGGATGCAAGCAAAAGGAATACCTTCAACCGGAGAAGATTAGATTAGAAAAGAAAAAAAAAATCACCTTGTACACTGTACATTTCAGAACACTGATTTAACGTGTATAAACTTTGAAAAATTTTTAATAATTATAGTAAAGAGCAAGTTGATATTAAAATATTAAAAATTAAATTCATGTTGAAAAAAAAAATTTTTTTTTTTTTTTTTTTTTGAAGCCCTTGAAAGCTATTCGCTTTACCTTTAGAGGCACGGGCTATTCGCTATGCTAAGAGATAAAATAAAAATTATAGGGTAGTACTCACAACATCTATATTAGAAATGAAGAGAACTCGGGAATGATGACGGGTGAAATTAAAAGAGGGTCCAACAGGAGGATCAATGGAAATTGCAAATAATGAAATCTTGTAAAGTTTGATGATAGAAAATTGGAGGTTTAGGCTTTCAAAATTTTGTTTTCATTGTTGGTTGCATTCCTGCTGTCCTGGAAATATTCAAATCCGATGAATAGAAGCAGCGGTGAAATCCCGGCCCGACGAAATTAGATCGAACTAATATGACAGTTACCTACCTTTCCATTTTTTCCGTCGGTCTGAAAGAATGGATGTATAGATAGATAAATTTATTGTAAATTTATGAATGCAAGATTTACATGAACAAAAAAAAGAAAAGAAAAAATTAATAATCTAGAGAGAGTAACAGGTGGAAAAGGAAGGAAGCGGAAAGATGTGTTTGAAATCGAGAAAAGTCTTGTCATAAAATGATCAATGAGCAACATATAAATATTGTTTGGTGTGAAAATAAGAAGATAACTCAATATCTGCAATCATATGAGTAATTAAAAACGTGGGCCTACATTTTCGTGGTGTCAATATCCCTTCAATTAAGCACCTTTAACTGAGGTGTTCAAATGCTTAAAGGGATTACCACAAATGTTTGGCAGAGTGTGAAAAAAATAAAATTTTTACAGGATCACGAGAGAAGGCGTAAAACATCTACTTACTCCTTCCTCCTCCTCCTCCTCCTCATCATTATCATCGTCATCATCTGCGTCGACATCGTCGTCATCATCGTCTTCCTCGCTGATGTAAAAGTCATCATCAATGATGTCTTCGTACTTCAACGCCTTGCCGGTATACCAGTCGACTGCGCGAGGAATCAATTTTTCCTTAATGTCCTCGCCGATTTGATAATCCATTTCAAGACGTTCATCTAAACTATCGTCCTCATCCTCTATCTCATCTTGATCCGTTGGTGGATTGAAAAATTGAAAGAATGATTCGGCGGGTATCGTGGTCCTCACCACACGAGTATTCTTGGTTCCTGTATTAAGTATTTAAAAGCAAAGAAGTGGGTAGAAGTGATAGAAGTAGAGAGAAGAGCGTTCCACCATCACATTACATACCCTTATGCCTTTGTTTCTTGGTCTCCACTGTTACCGTGAGATTTTGATTCTCTTTCCACTCAATCTGTGTACCTTCCGCGTGATCATAGACAAAGTCGCCCCCATAGCCTGGTTCCTCTTGATAAAAGTATGTTTTTGTCAAGGTTTTGTTCTTGAAGAATCGGTTCTCCTCAAACTCAAACTCAAGCCGGAAACCAGGTTTTTCGAGGTATGACATGCGTATGTCAATTAGGTGCTTCATTGCTTCCTCGTCACGCTCGGTAATAATTTCCGCAATGGTCACCAAATTCTTCATGGCGGTGAGCCAAAATTCGGGAATTCCTTTAACTGGTCCCTCGATAATCTCCTGTACTTTGGTCTCTTGAACTGGTTCTTCTCCCTCTTCTTCCTGTTTTTTTTCTTCCTCTTCAAGTGCAGCGCCAGTCACAATATCCTCTTCCGACGGTTCGCTTTCTCCGCGAACTATATTTGAACGTTTCTCGTATAATGGTCTATATAGCTCAAGGTATTTTTTTTCGAGAGCCAAGATCTCCTGCTGAAATTTAGCCTCCAATTTTGCGTGTTCAGCTTGATAAGACTTTAAGCCGTGGATCCGACGTCTCACATCTTTGGGAAGGTTCTCGACATAACCCGAGGACTTGCCTATTAAGGAGTTAAGCTTTCCCTGGAGGAGAGAAACCAACTGAGGGGAGGTATGTTCCATTATACGGCAAATAATCTTTTGCACGTTGGAGAAAAAAAGATGAGCACGTACAGCCTCAATGTATATACCGTGCGTGTGGGCACGATGATTGGTTGATAGACTGATGATATCAATGGCGATGCGACATCGATTTACATAGTTACCAAAAACATGTCTTCGTATTCCTTTTGCGCAATTTGCAAGCGCAATACTTGTGAAGGCAGAAGGCACTTGTACACCAAACTTCATCAAGGACGCTTGCAGAAAAAACTTGACGCCCAAAAGACAGTAGGTTGAGGCGATTTTCTCGATCGATTTGGTTGTGGGCGAAACATATTAATCAAAACTTCAGGAATACAAGAAACATAAAATTTTCCTGAACGACGTCACTTTCGTTCACGACACAAGCAAACAACCAGACTTTTGGTGCATCTTTTGTGAGATCGAGGTGAAACCACCACCTCAACGAGTAAATGAAGAACAGATATTTTGGTATGCATCAAGTGTTCATATTTCCAGGTGACTTGATCCTCCAACATGATCGCTTGAAAATTTTCTAGTATACATATTTTCGAACACATTGCATCCAAAAAGCACCATTCTAAAGTGTATAAATATCTGAAGGACAACAAGGCCGATCGAAACATAGCAGCACAGTTTATGCTGAGCAAGAATGATATTGAAAAGGTGAGTCTCACCATTTATGATGACGCGCCTTTATGGTTCTAATTGCAACCGTTCGTATGATATTAAGGAGTTGAACCTATTAGTTCCATAGAAAAATTTCCGTGAAACAAAAAGAGACGGAGATCAAGCCAGAACAGAGCACATCAGCCTATGTTCCTGGATCAATCCCCTCGGAAAGCTATGTTCAAGGTACGACAGGATTTGCCTTCGGGTTTATATATACATGAGGTCAATTTTTTCAACTTTACACGCGGCACACACTTATCTCATGTTCATAAATATGATTATCGCGGAATTAAGTTGACGAGCATGATCAATCGATGGTATATTTACAAATCAAAAGAAATTATCAGATGTTTCAAACTTGTTAATTTCTTTGTTAATTCCAAAGGTTTCAAGATCACGTATAAATTTAACAAGTGTCGAACAAAATGAGAGGGATAAGCCTATTTACAAAACGTATGACAACAGAAATTCGAAAAAGCGTCCCCACTTCGGTATCGAGGAAACAAGAACATCCGAAGATCTAGTATTTGACCAAAGTAAGGGTTTCCCATAATTTGCATGATCTTTTTGTTCATTGATGATTAAATATTGTATCGCGCAGCTCACTCACGTTCACCAAGCACCAATGACGAATGCGACTGCGCGAACGTCCAAAAATCCAAGATCGGTCATTCCTCAAAAATATTTAAATTCAGTGAAGATGACGAAAGCTGAAATCATCAACCTCCTATCCACTTTGCGTCGGCCCGAGTTGAAACCGGTTCTGAAACCGATTTTGCAAATTTAACTCTAATATCAATAGCCGGTTCGTGTCGGTTCCTGATAATAATCTGTGAACCAATTAAAAAATCGCAAAGCCACGTAAATCCTTTAAAAGAAATTCTTTATTAGGGATGGATAAATTTGGGTTCACAAGTTAACGGGTTAAAATAAATAGCATTCAGGATAATCGTTCCATCGTGACTTGTCTTTACTTACCAAATCAAGTATAATCTTTTCGAACCCACCTCTTTTTTTTTTTTTCTTGATAAACCACTGCATTTAGGATTGCAGAAATAATTTTGATTCAGTTGTATAAAACAAACGGGTTTAATAACGCCGGAGCCTGTATTATGGATTCTTACTTATTACTAACTAGGTAATCAGAATCTGATAATTTTATCATGTTATATCGACGTTAATACAATTGAAAAAGACGCATAAGATATAAATTTTTTAATAGGAAAATCAAGTTGCTCTATATAAACCATCATTACTTGATATTCTTTTTGAAAATCAATTTTAAAAAAGTTTTATTAATTTGCGCGCGATATATTGTATTTCGAGAAAATCTTATATTTAAGTTATCCCATTAGAAGATAACTTGATCTACGTGAATTAGATGCAACAATTTTTATTGTTTAACTGTGTTTCGGTTGGCATTAATAATAAATTATTGATAATGATTTAACAACTTTCAATTAAATAACGAATATGGAGTGCAATTATGTTTGCATTAAGTGCTGTAAACTACCTGCCAAAGATAAAATCCAACCCGATGATCACCATTTGTCATGAATGTTCAGTAGTTCCTCATTCCCGCCTGCCACCATTCTTTCCCGGAACTCTTTGACTCTCCTAGTAAAGGTACTCGAGGTGCGCGCACAGCCTTTCGGCCCGCTAACGAACCACGCAGAATTTACCAACATCAGCTTATCCGCGATGCCTTGTATTCCCGATCCCCTTAATTCGTCAGCAAAATCCCCGTCTTTGGGTAAATAACCTAAAAGATCAGTCGAAATCCATGTGTGTAAATGGTCATTCTTCCCCAAATAATCCGTCAACATCTTATATGCCTTGTGATGTTCTGGAAACAACTTGTGAAATGTCGCCGATTGTGCATATTGCTTCTTCGCTCCTTTCTCGCGTTCACGTATGGGATAGTCGGTGGCAAGGTACACATTCTCAATACCAATACGTTTTTTGAGACGTTTTAGATAGCCGATCAATTGGTTTGCACATTTCGGCATCCTCTTTATGTCACCTTGCTCCATGCGCCAATGTATTCCCACGTACGGTCGAATGGAATTTGATGCATTGGTGGTGGACTCTACCAGTTGTTTTGTATAGGGTATGGGCGAGAAACGTCGAGGATCGTTAAACAACAATTTAGGCAACCTGTGTTCCAACAACAACACTTCTTTGTTGGTGGTTAATTGTTGCAGCATGAATTTTGTCACAGCTTCGTCTAATTCCGAATGAGTCCATAAAAAATTTACACCCAGGAAGATTTTTTTGAAGATGGTATTGTGGTCGAACACGAATTCAAATTGCCATAGGCATTCCTTTTTTTTCAACGTTTCGTCGTAGGGCTCGAGGTATTGCACCAGGAAAGAGGTGTTACGTGGTTGAATAAAACCCCAGTAGGTTTCGGGCTTTCGTCTACGATCGACGGTCCATCTTCGAAAATCCGATTGGGTAATAATGCGTAAACCGGGGAATCTACGGCGGAATTGGTCGACGTCATAGTAGAAGTCGAATGGGTGTTGTTTACAAGCTTGTATGCGAGAATGACCTACGTGAGTGAGCACGAGAGTTCTATTGAGACGTTCGGCGATTTGAGCGAATGACTCAAAATGCATATTGGCCTGTGTCTCTTGTTCGGTAGGCTGTTTTGGTAATGGGAGAAAACAACTAACTCGTCACATATCCCAAAGAAAAAATAAAAAATAAAAAAAAAAAAAAAAAAAATCGAAAATAAAGTACGCACGTGGTATGCAAACAAAAATCGACAACGTTCTTCGCCGCAATATTCTTTATTGATCTCTTTATCATAATCGTCCAATATTATTTCTTCATCGTGATCGTGTATTATGGTAGAGTTTGTGAGTATGGTCACGGTAGTGTCGATTGGCTTTATTTTGGTTGAGTCTGAGTCTATGTCTATTGGCTCTATTTTGGTTGTGTTTGTGTATGACGTTATTTCTTTCTATTAAAAAGTTTAAGGACATGTTGAATCTAGACGCAGCATCCTAAATACTTGACCACCTAAACTTCTCTTTATTCATTATATACTTACTTCGTCGTTCGATAATCGTTCTTCATAAGAAAGGTATGATAGTATATTTACAATGACCAATATTAATAAGATGATTAAATTGAATCGTTTGGTCCATCTATGAACGATTAGATACTCCGTTATGGAATTCTTCTCTGTCATGTTTTTTGATAGAATGAATGGGAAAGTAAACTAAAGTGAAGAAAAAGTATGTATGAATTTTATTTCAACTCTCTCGGTGTTGTCTATTTAACGTTTTAATGATGTCTTATCCAAATATAGTATATTATACATAAATTATAAATTACAAATGGCTGTTCGGGTTAAAAGCAATTGCACATGTAGTTATTATGATACTGAAAGAAAGGAAAAGTTGAACTTGATCGACGATAATGAAACGATTTACTGTATTCTCCCGAAATATGCAAAGTTGAACAGTCACACACCAATACACCAATAATATTTCGTGTTGACCTTCCCTCGACTCGATATTTTTTACTCTTGCTTCCAGAAACGTATCTAGAAACTTTGACCGTATAAATTCTAAGATCACACAATTATAAAATTTAAAAATCCTTGCCCGCCTTCGAAAAGAATTACACGCATACAGAAATTAAAACTTTGTCATACTCCTGAGATCAACTTACAGTAATTCGATTAAAGCCGGAAAATTAGAATCTTCCCCCGTAGACGGGTTGAAATTGTTGTATGTTAAAAGCTCCATTTAAATACAGATTGCTATGGTACTATTAAATACCGACGAATTTATTATTCGAAACATTATTAAAAAATTAATACACAACCCGAACGGGTTCCTAACTCGGTTCGTGATTAGAATATTAACACGGGCAAGTACGATTGCAAATTAATTTATCATTTAATTGCTAACCACTTAAACTACCTTACACTGCAAAGTCAAATGCAACACGAAAGACGAATAATAATAATAATAAAATCGATACAATCTATATGCTTACTAAAGTATCATTCATATCATTCATTATCCGGCACCCATCGAAATAAACATCGGAAGGCGGATAGGGATTTTTCGGACTTTATAATCGTATATGCATTATTCAAAAAATAGGGATCAAAGAATATAAAAATAGTTATCCATTGTAGTTTATGCATGATTATACAGATGCGATAAAGTAATCTTTATGCCTTAACCCCTTACTCCCAAAAAATTCAAAAAGAATTACCCATATGGATAGCTAATATTTTAACTATTTATTGTATTGTGACCGACGATCAAATCGTTCGCGAATTTGAGCGAAACTAACTATTAATACAACCTTTAAACATTCTTTTCTTTAATTCGAAAAATTTTCTTTTTTTTTTTAATCATACCATGCCTTCTTTAAACTTAAAAAAAAATATTTCTACATTACTTCGTTCTCATCTTTATTCTTTACCTTTGAATTCTTATTCTTCTTCTCAAAAAAATCTTGCTACTTCAATTTTACATGATGTGACTATTCATTTATCAAAAAATAATTCAACTCAACTATACGATTATTTTTTTAACCAATTTAACATTGGAAAAACATTTTTTCCAGATTCAAAACATGCAAAAACAATCAAATAATTCTTAATAATCTTAAGATTATATATGCAAATTTTCCTACATAATATAAATCCAGTCTTTTATTTTTAGTAGCTGGTTTATATAGTAGATCTGAATTAACAAATCTTGACTTTCACTTTAGTAATACACAATTTAATACCTCTTTAAAAAAAGCCAATGATCAATCCTTTTTTTAATCAAACTATCAAAGACAAATTCCTTCTTCCAAATCTGCCATTAATAAACAAACTATTGATCTTATTCTTAATTCTCTTATGCAAAATTCTCATTTATCTATTGTCACATATCAATCTTTAAAACTTCCTTATTCTCTTGAAAATATTACTATCTCTTTTAATCTCACTTATATTTATTATTTAAAAAAAACAAAAAAACCACATTTTTTCTAAATTATAAACTCAAAATTCAACTTTAAAATTGAATCTTGATACAATTTACAAATATTGTTCAAAAAACTTCAAAAAAACACAAAAAAAAACAGATACTGTATGTGTTCAATATGTGTTGAAGGAAAAAAAAACAGAAAAAAAATTATCACAAACCAATCTTCTTAATATTTATTTTATTATCCAATTATAAGATCAAATTAATCTTTATTATCAATCTCTTTACATTAAAACAAATCAATATTAACTTTATCAAAATTCTATTAACTTTATAATAACAATTTCTTGTGTAATAGTTATGGATTTTAAGAAAAATTTTAAAATTGGTGATGGCTCTTTTGAAACTGGCAAAAATTTTTATGCAAAAAATACAAATTTCATTTTTAGGATTTATTATTTTTTATAAAAATAATAATGGTACAATTCAAACACAATATTTTGATTTTTTTTTCAAAATTTTATCTTATGATTCCTTATTTATGATTGATTTATCAATCAACTTCTTTCTAAACTCTTTATGTTACAATTTCAACAATTTTGCTTTTGGTTAAATTCTGATTCTCATTTTAGATCAGTTGAAATAATGCATTTTATTTTCAATCATTTATCAACTCTTTATAACAAAGATTTTTTCTTAATTTTTTTACTGAAAACTATGGAAAAAGCATTGTTGATAGATACTTTGATATACTGTCAAGATGGTTTTCTAAAGATGAATCTACTCAAAATATTTATACTCTTGAAAAATTAATTGAATTTTTTTTTAAAAGAAAAATTCAATACTCTTCTAATAATATTTTATTTAATACTTATTTATGAATCCAACCTCAAAATAATATTCACAAATTAACTATAAATAACTTTTTTTATATTTATCATTTACAAAATTTAAAATTTAATAGTAAAATATACTGTATGTTTTAACCCTTAGTATATTTAATTATGAAGGATATATAGAAATTTTCTTTAAGATAAAAATAGTAAAAGATACAAGAAAAACAATATATGCACCATCCAAACAATCAACAAATACTACTTCAATAATAATGGATAGCAAAAGTAGAGAAAAGTTACATACTAGAATAGAAAAAACATTCAATTTTTCTATTCCAATAGAAATATAATTTGTTAATAATATAAAATAGGACTTAATATATAGTGATAGCTATATATAGCTTTAGAACTGACTATTTCTTCTCATAAGAGTTCTATTTTATATTAAACTATATATATTTTCATTTTTTTAAAAAAAATATATCTAACATAGATTATTTTTATTTATTGAAAAATTAATTAATTTTAAAATAAAATTACACAAGATTTAAGAATTATATTAAAAAATATTTATTATTTATATATATATAATTTTCTATATATTATATTGAAATAAAATTAATTCTGCAAAATATTAATATCAATTTTCACAGTTTCATGAATTTCACATAAATTTTGTTATCTGACAATCATCCAATAATATAGATATAAATATGTATATTTATTTATTTTTGATATTATATACATATGCATACTTGTAATTAATATATATATATACATATACAATATAAATTTTAGGGCTATATATATTTTAGGAATTTATATTGTATATATGTATCAATTGAAATTTTCAGGATAATGATTCTGAAGTTCAAAAACTCCTTATCCACCTTCAAAAAAAATTATCCATATATTGTATAATACCATTCGTCATTATTTATTTGCAATTATTATTATAAAAGAATTTTTACACAATACTTTTATTAATAAAAAAAGAATTTCTTTAATTTGATAGAATTTCATTAAAATTAAGATAAATTAAACTACACTATATACATTATATACAGTTGTTTTTAGAAGTTTTTAATATGTTTTTATCATAGAGTTCAAATTTGACAATTTTTAAATCTATAACTATATGTTTAAAAATTACAAACTTTATATATATTATATTTCAATACTTGCAAAAACAATTTTTGAAGTTTTATTGACAACAAAAATTTTTTTTCTATATCAATTATTACATAACAAAAGTTTTTGAACAAATATTGATATATAGTTTTTATTCATAATTGAATAATCAATAAACAAAATAAAAGAAAAAATTTATTTTATATTTTTTAAAAAATTATAAATGTTAAATTTGAAAGTATAGAATTGATTTTTTATAATATCAAATTTCTATTGTATATTATTTACTAAAAACATAATAAAACAGTTTTTTTATAATTTTTTTTTATTAATTATATAAGTTAACTTTATTATTATTATTATTATTATTATTATTATTTTTAACCCGCAGTCAGGTCAGCATGGCATGTTTTTATTGTATATATGCTAGGTATTTATAAATTTTGTGACTTTCACATACTGACTCACTCGTCGTCGAAAAATTATTTCTTTAAATGCAACCTAGGGAATGATACAGTTGCTTCCAAAAGTTTGAGTCCACTTACTATATTTTTATTATAAATTTCAACTTTGACA